TTCTTATAGTTCCTTCCTTCCCAACTCTTTTCTTTTCCAGTTTTAGACACTCTCAAAAATTCCTTTGATTTGTTTGGTTGTTTAAAGAAACATCAAAAAGAAAATTCAATATAAGTAGAGTAAAGCAAGGCATATAATCAAAACTGGAAGACATAAGAACCATAATATGAAAGTACTAAAAGTAATAGAAAAACAAATAATATACTCTCAATTAATAAAGTTCTTGAAGAATATTCAACTGATGGTACAAAAGTGGTAATAGTAACATAGTCTCAAGTATTGCTTCTATAGTGAATTACCATTTTTTTTTTACTTATAAAGTTCTTTTAAGATATAAACAAAACTCTTTTCTCTATTGATCCTTGTAAAGCTGTTGTTCCTTTTTTTATTTTTCTAGTTATAAACAATTTTCAAGAAGATTGGTATAGAAACATACTTCTTTTTTTAAGGTTAATATAGTTAAACAGATCAAATATACACATTAACTTTTTCTAAAATTTTATTGTATTAATGGTCCTCTTATTAGTTTTCTGTCTAAAGATAACTTAGCCATAAGATAGTTTCTTAACCTATTATTAGTTTACTAACTATTTATTATTTTATCTTTCAGTTGAATGTACCTATATAATAAAACTTAGTTAATAAACTTGACCAAACCAATATTAAAAAAAAAAAATTATTATTATAATAAATAAGTTTAGTTAAGAAAATTTTTAAATTTTAATATTTTTTTTTTTTTTGCCAACTCAACTATGTTTATTAGCGATAATAGAATAAAATTCAAAATACATTGAAATTATTACAACTATTAAAGATATTATTAAACTTTCTAAAACCTATCAGTTTACTGAAATATATGTTGTTGCTCCAAATCTAGTGAGACTAATCTAAAATTACTTCTAAACTAGTACAAAAATAAAAAGAAAACACTAGAACACTACTGGACAAATATCTAAATTTCTCTACTACTGACCATTCATTGAGACTAATACCAAGAAGAAATCAATATCTATGGATTATTCACTGGAGTACTGTGTCTCTTAATCTTTGAAAGGAAAAATGAAGGAACTTCTTTTACATTTTCTTCTTTTAGACAAAAGAGGAATGGTTTCAGAGGCCAGCTTTATTGATATTATCTTATCTGGGAGTCTGCCTAGGAAACTACTTATTCAAAGATCTGGTGGGATCTACGGTCAGAAGGATACCTTAAAACCTGTGAAGAGATGATGACCAATCTTAAGATAATACCAGCTTCAAGCATAAGCTGCTTATTTAAAAAGGCGCAACTCTTCCAAAGTCAGGCTAAGTCTTTAGAAAATCTTTTAATCTGGCAATAGTTTTCAATGAGCACTTTAACTAGAAGTAAGATTGGTGGGTACCACTGGTGGTTGAAGTGACCATACTTGAGAGAGAGTCATGTTGAAAGTCTTGATATTGATCTTGAGTTTGTAGTCCTCCCACAAACCATGAATTAGGAATAAAAAACCTGCCAGCTGAGAAAAACTTTCTGTCCACCTTGTTTGTTTTTTATAAAAAAATTAAACAGATCTTTGCCAATCTATAAGAGCTACTAGAACCTACTTGACTATTAAGAATAGATAACTTCAATATTAAAAATGATTAAAGTATCTTTTAATCTTTATTATAGTTGGATGGACTTTTTCTTTTTTGATTTTATTAGAGAATTCAGTTTCAATAGATAGGCCTAAGTATATATTGTCCTTAAAGTGCTTATACTGGATTAAGTTGATGACCACGATGAGAGCAATACCTATCAGCAAGGTGATAATACAAAAAAGAACACATGAAGCATGTGTATGTCTTGTTTATATTTTGTTACTGATAGCTTTATTCAACTCAAATCTCAAGCCAATAAAATTCCAGCAGATCTGGTATAACCAAAAATTTAGGGTCAGAGGGAAATAGGTAAATTTCCTCATAAAAACTGAAAAATTTGTTTACATGCTTCAGGAAGCTTGGGGTCTGATGAATTTCCTAGAGAACAAGATTATTGCATATGGTATAATCTTTGGCGAATTTTCAATTTTAATATACAGTATAGTTTTTATAAAATTTTTATTAATTGATTTTGAAAAATTACAAAAATTAAATAATTAAAATAGTGAAAAAAAATTCTAATATATAAAATTATTAAAAAAGAATATACTATATAAATTTATAAATTTATAGTTTTATCAATAAGAAATTTTTTTTTTTGTTGATTCTTCAACCATACATAAAAAAGATGTTCGCAAAACATTTTATACTTCCTTGCTAATAAAGTCTTTATATTTTTATTAAAACAACTTGAAGTTTGTTTTCATATATCTCTTCTATTCTCTTTTACTTGTTTATAAACTTCTTTGAATAAAAACTTGAGTCTCTATAACCTGAAAAGACCTAAGTATGTACTTTCTCTACTAAGGACAAAAAGGTTTTAGGAAGTAAAAGGACTAACAAGTGGAGTATTACTTTACAGAGTTGAAATAATAGAAATAAAGGTTTTGTTAGCAGGAGAAGGCTTATTATCCACCTTCTTATGCTTTTCTATTTCCTCTTAAAGTATTTACTAGTTTTCATGATTTTCTTGAGAGATTTTGCCTATCTCAGTTTGACCCTGAATTTTTGGTAGCACAATATTATTAGGTTTTTGATTGGTTGACACGAAACATGTTAGTAATTAAATATAAACAAGTCCTTACTGATCATCTCACATATTCCAAAAATGTTATTGATGATTGAAAAATTTGATTGGTGTCCTGTGTCTACTTCACTTTTCTAATTGGGTTAACCTATAAATCAAATTCTATAAGATCAATAAAATATAAGCAACAAGTCCTCAGATAATAAAAAAGTTGCTATCTATTCAAGTTAAGGTCTTTCTTTCTTATCATTCCAATCAAGCAAAGTTCAAAATCAAGGTCTCTTTTTTATTCTGATCAGGTAGTAAAACCAAACAGTCTCTAGTTTATGCTAAGCTCCAACCCTTTGATTACAGTTGAGAATACATTTCCCCAGAAGTTATTAAAGGATATCACAATTAACAAGGATTTTTACTGTTTTTCTGGTACCCTCCTACTATTGTAAGATTAAAAGATCTTTGAGAAAAGACTTTTTGGACAATGGAAGATATACAGTATACACCAATAAAATTCCTTTAATTAGGTGTAACAGTTGGAAGATATTATATTGAAATAATATGATCCAGTTCCTACTAGGTTACATAAGAATCTGGAATCTATCATAAGTTACCTCTCTAATGCAGGTGGATAAAAAATCACTATTCAAAGAAAATTGGAATCAAGTATATTCTGGAAATAAAGGTTCCCACTAAGTTATAAGTCTTCTCAGATGGTACACAAGAAGGAAATCAAAATCAAGAATAAATAAGTTCCTCAGAAGGTCAGAAAAAGAAAGATATCTTAATTAGGCATTTCTTATTAAGAAAAGGTCTTGAAAAGCAGGTCTTTGGAAAAAGCTGAAAATATTTTTTTCAAATTTTTATTTTTTCATTTTCTTATTGTCTGTTTAGACATTTTTAGATATCCTTCTTATCTTTTTTTCAACCCATTCCTTTTGTAGTTTCCTATATTCCAGTGGCTTGACCAAACATATAACAGTGACAACCTGCTAGCAATGATGTAGCAGACTAGAAGAGTTTTTATCCAAAGACACTGTGAAGCAAAATATTGTTCCCAAGGTTGAACTTAGAGGCTTTTATGCCTATGACGAATTAGTTAGATTAGGATTAATAGTTTGGCTATAGTATGTATCATGTTGTTTAAATAAAAATGTACTTATATTTTCAATTGATTAATAAACTGACGACTTATTTAACTATGGATACTTAAAAAAAAAATAAGAAAATTTTTTATTAAAATCATATATTGAAAAATTAGATTAAAAAGAACAAAAATTTTTAAAAAAATTATATAATAAAAAATATATATTAAAATATATATAAGATTTGTTACATATTTTTTAAAATAGTTTTTTTAAACTTTAAAATAAAATATTATAATAAACCTATTAATTAATTAAAATTTTCCAAAAGCGCACTATAAATAAAGTATGTATTAGTATACAATATAAATACTCTCACCTCGGAATTATAGTAAAAAATAGCAGGGTTTAATTTTTTTTATAAGCTTATGGTCCAATAAGGGAATTCATTTAAATATAAAGCATATTAAATGCATTTCATATGATATTTCTTGTATTATAATTTTTATTCAAAAATTCCAATAAATACGGGAAACACTCAATTTTTGCAATCATGAGATTTTACTTTCAATAATGATATTAAATATTGATGAACGATATAATTGGGCCCGCGAATGAAATAGTCTCTAAAATCAATCCGATAATACAGTATCTTAATAAATGTCCATAGCATAATTCGCGAAGTTAAATTTAAACTATTGAGTCATGATCTAATCAAGTTATAAAGCAGGGTCGTCCAACTGATTGTGTTAAAAGGTAATCATTATCATAGTATATTACATTTAGGTTCCTGTTGACGCCGCTCTACGACACGCTCCTGCCGGTGAGTCTGGTTAATAACTGGTACACGTGGGCGTGGGGGATTAACTCGCTGGGGGAATGCTGGTTCGTTATATCCGAATAACGTGTTGATTTGTTCAGGTCGTAACGCGCGAATCTCTCGGTCAATTTCTTCCATTGCATTCTGGTTGTGCGCGGTCTCGACTGCAGGATTTCTGATTCGGTTCAGCCGGCACCGACTACATACGCTGTAAATGTATACAAACGACTATTGTTAATGTTCTTTTGGGGGTAAATTTGGTGCATTATCATAACTTACCGCCAGAAACATCGATCACACTCGAACGCGTACCATACCATATTCCACGCGCAATTGCCGCATGGTTCTGCGTGCCCCACCCTATAATTAACCCAATTATGCCTACAATTATGGCGTAAATGTTGCTGATTTTGTAAGCTTCGTTCAGCAGTTTGAGTTATAACAGGAGCTTGGTGAGTTAGCCTGTGCTCATTCCATTGGGGGCAGTTGCATTTTTTCCACTCTGTTCCACAGATGTAACAAAACTGATAAGAACAAATGCAAGTAATATGATTGCATCCAATAGTCAATTCCACAATCCGTTTGCACCGTCCACATTTCTGCCAGCCAGACTCCTTGGCGATCAATTTTATTTGAATAACATCGGGATCACGTGGACAATCTTCTTCGGTGTGTGCCTCCTTTCTACATTTCGTGCAGATTTTAGTTTTGCATGCGGGGCACGTTACTTCTTTCTCATCACCCTGCAACTGAATGAAACGAGAGCAAGCAGGTTTTGGACAGTATATCTTGTGTTGTGTTCGAAGTTCATATATTTTCTTTCCCAATGCGCGGAGTTCGTCCGGCTGAAGCATCGCTTTGGCATATTTCATGCCGAGTATTCTATCACAACAACGTACAGGTAATAGGGATTCGTCATTCGTGGCACTTATTAACAATCGACGCAAGCAATCCTCACAGAAATGATGTTCGCATTGTAACTTGTAAACTACTTTAGTGTCGAAGCAACATGAACACTCTGCCTCTAATGATTGCAAAGTTGCTCTCCATTCCTCCTTTGTTTGTAATTGCTTTGCAGATGACGTAGATGATTCGACCATCGGGCAATCTTTCATAAGATGTCCGTTAGCATTACAACGACGGCACGTCCTTCCATCAGTACAATCTTTAATCTCATGTTCATTACTTCCACAGCGGTAGCATGACTTTACTGAAGGAATAGAACACTCCTTACCTAAATGACCAGTCTCACCACAGCGACCGCATTTCTTTAAAGCCCGACAATCTTTAACTTCATGTTCAGTACTACCACAACGATGGCAAGTCTTTACTGAAGGAGCAGGACAATCTTTAGCTACGTGACCATCATCACCACAACGATGACATTTCTTTCCCAACAAGCAATCCTTAATCTCATGTTCGGTACTACCGCAACGATGACATGTCTTTACTGAGGGACAATCTTTAATTAAATGACCATCTTCACCACACCGATGACACTTTTTTCCAACCAAACAATCTTTAATCTCATGTTCGGTGCTGCCGCAACGATGACATGTCTTTACTAGAGAGATAGGGCAATCTTTAGCTAGGTGACCATTTTCACCGCAACGACCGCATTTACTTCTAGCCGGACAATCTTTGGCCTCGTGTTCAGTACTACCGCAATGACGGCATGTCTTTAGAGCAGGACAATCTTTGACAAAGTGACCATTCTCACCACACCTATTGCATTTTCTTCCTGACAAACATTCTTTACTTTCGTGTTCGGTACTACCGCAACGGCGGCACGTCCTTATTGAGGGAACAGGACAATCTTTAACTAAATGACCATCCTTACCACATCGATTGCACTTTTTTCCAACAAAACAATCTTTAATCTCATGTTCAGTACTACCGCAACGATGGCATGCCTTTGCTGAGGAAACAGGACAATCCTTAACCAAATGACCATCTACACCACAATGATAGCACCTTTTTCCAACCAAACAATCTTTAATCTCATGTTCGGTACTACCGCAGCGATGACATGTCTTTACTAGAGGGATAGGGCAATTTTTAGCTAGGTGACCAGATTCACCATAACGACCGTATTTGTTTCCAGCCTGACAATCTTTAGCCTCGTGCTCAGTACTACCGCAACGACGGCAAGTCTTTATTAAAGGACTAGGACAATGTTTGATCAAATGACCTTCCTCACCGCATCGATTACACCTTTTTCCAACCGAGCAATCTTTAATCTCATGTTCGGTACTACCGCAACGACGGCATGTCTTTACTAAGGGAACAGGACAATCTTTGACCGAATGACCTTCCTCACCACATCGATTACAATTTTTTCCAACTAAACAATCTTTAATCTCATGTTCGGTACTACCACAACGACGGCATGTCTTTACTAAGGGAACAGGACAATCTTTGACCAAATGACCTTCCTCACCACATCTATTACACTTTTTTCTAACTAAACAATCTTTAATCTCATGTTCGGTACTACCGCAACGACGGCATGTCTTTAATAGAAGGACATTGCAATCTTTAGCTAAGTGACCAGTTTCACCACAACGACGGCACGTCTTTGCTAGAGGAACAGGACAGTCTTCAGCCAAATGATCATCGTCACCACATTGACGACACGTCATTTTGAGAATAGGGCAATTCCTGGACAAATGGCCAGATCCACCACAGCGACCGCAGAACTTTCCAGCTGGACAATCTTCTGTCTGGTGTTCAGAACTATAACACAGTTGACATAGAGGACAATCTCTACTCGAATGATCAGTCTTACCGCATCGACGACATGTCTTACGTGTGATTGCAGGAAAATTTTGTTCTACTTTTGTACCAAATTCTCCTAAATTTTCTTCGTATTGTTTCCTACGCGATACTTTCATGGTTCGTTTTCTTCGAGTGTCTTTAGCTAAGTTCGGTATGGACTCAACGGTACTAGAAGACCCTTCATTCATTCTTTCTTCAACTTCATCTCCCACTCTAATATTCCATTGAAGCACATTCTCGTAATTCATATTACTTGATGAGTGTAAGCCATACGAAAATTGCACTTTTTGTGTGCGTTGACATTGTTTCCGTTATAAGAATTAGCTGCAGCCACAAAATATCCACGTGATGTGATCGACAATACATCGTTACGTAAAAAAAACAATATTTATCTATTTCTGATTTACTATATATTTTATTAATTAAAAAAATTTTTTTTTCAATCTTTATTAAATGATACTTGAATGTAATGATCTTAAAAAAAAAAACTTTTTTGTTGGTTTATACATAAAAAAAGATGTTTACAAGATGGTTTTTACTTTTTTATTAATAAAGTTTTACTATTTTAATTAAAATAATTTGAAATATAATTTTATAAAATAATTGAAGTTTACATAAATTTCAATTATTACACTTAGGTTAAATTATAACTATTTCAAGAATAACACATATTTTGTATTTGACATATTACTCAAGTATATCATAAAAAAGTAAATTCATATTAAAAAAAAATATTTATAATCTATATATAAAATATATTATAAGTTATATTTATTTTATTTTTTTTTTTAAAACCTGTAATCAAACCAGTATTATGTGTTTATTAATCATTATGAAAACTGATAGAGATATATAGGGCAATTGCATCATAGTTATACTAAAAGACTTGTATTGACACTCTCGTCAATGGCTTTCAATTCTCAAAAAAGTTTCAGTTTCTAAGTGCAATTTTGAAAATAATATTTCATTATAAACTAAGTTTTAAGTAAAGACTCTCCTAACTTATCCATAATTAACAGTAGGTTATTACTGCTTATTATCCCCAAGGAACTGAATTTGAGAAATTACAAAAGGAAAAGGAAAAATAAAAGAAAATAAGAATATTTAAAAATATTCAAATATATTATATAAAAATAAAAAAAAAAAATTTAAAAATACTTCATGTCCTTCAAAGGACCTCTGCTTAAAACCTCTTCTTATTAGAAATCAACTCTTCTGGAATATCTTTCTTCTTTTTAACCATCTGAGGAACTTATTCATTTGTGTTCTTGATTATTTTCTTGTGACTATCTAAGGTACTTATCACCTATTCAGATTCAATGTCTTACTTAATGCTTTCTTTCTTTTAGTTTTGATTTTATATCCATCCATACAAAAAAATATGACTAATGGTGAATCTCAAGTTCTTATGTGACTTTTCAATCTTGTTAAATAATTTTCGATATCTTTTAGCAGTCATGCTTAGTTAAAAAATTTTATTGATATTCTTCTTGATTGTAATATCATTATATAATGTCTGAAGTAATGCATTTTCAATTCTAGAGAAGAACAGTGTTTTATATTCCTTTGATTTTCAGTTTTACAGTCTGACTGGAATAAGAAAATAATCTTTTTTACATATTTTACCTGATTAAAATAATAAGAAGTTGAAGGTTTTGGCTTATATAAATAAACACCTTTTTATTATCTAAAAAATTTAGTGCCTATTCTAATAGCCTCATAATTTCTTTGCTTCAGTTAAACTTTATTTGAAGAAGTGGAAGAGTTTGTATCCTTGATTTTTCTTTCAATCACCAATGATATCATTAGAACATATGAAGTGACTAATAAAAGCTTGTTTATATTTAACTACTAATATATTTTATGTCAATCAATCAGATTCCAGGTAATATTGTGCTACTAGAAATTTAGGATCAAACTGAAGTAGGCAAGAAAACCATAAAAAATAGTAAATACTTTAAGAGGATATAAGACAATATATGTGAAAGTGAAAAATAAACCTTCCCCTATCAACAAAATCTCTATTTCTTATTACTTCCAGTTCTATAAGATGACACTTCACTTGTCAGTTTTTTTACTTCCTAGAATCTTTTTGCTTTTAGTAAAGAAAGTGTATACTTAAGTCTTTTTAGATCACTAATGTTAGTCGAAATTATGTCATTCGGCTACCAAATTATTGCTGAATTTGACAAAATTTAATAATAAAAATATTGATGAATTATTTACGATTGCTGCCATTTAGCATTAAAAATATCAGTAAAAAATCGACAAAAAAATATCAGCATTCTGCGAAAAAAAATTCAGCACAAAATCTAGCAATATTGTGTCAAAAAAAATTTTGCGATAAAAAATTTGGCAAAAAAATTGATATTATAGCAAAAAATTTAGCAAAAAAATTGATACTGTGACAAAAAATTTGACAAAAAAATTGATACTGTGGCAAAAAATTTGGTAAAAAAATTGATACTGCAACAAAAACTTTGGTAAAAAAATTGATACTACAGCAAAAAATTCGATAAAAAATTACTGCGACAAAAAATTTGGCAAAAAAATTATTGCGGAAAAAAAAATTACTACGGTAAAAAATTCAAATTTCACAAAATTTATTAAAAAATTACAAATTCAATTAACTAAATTATTTGTTATTTTCCTCTTCCTCTTTCTTCTCTTCCTCCTTTTCTACTTGCTTTTCTTTTCCCTTTAAAGATCTTGGCTTGACTCTTTTAAAACTAGCACCAATTGATTTTACCTTGTCGAATGTTTTCCAAGATTTTTCACTTTTTTCTTCTAATCTAATTACCCCCTAATTTTGCCTATTCGTGCACTTTCCCCAATTTGTTCCTCACCCTCCGAATACATTAATGATTCCTTATATTCGGTAATTTTTCATCTTTTGAATTTATCTGCCGATTTTTTTCCTTTTTTTGTCTCTTTTTCTTGTTAATGTTCCGAAGTTTCTTCCAAACTGTATGTCCAATTCGGCAAGCCTTCTGGTGGCATCATGTCATAGAAATATGAATCGTCACGACATCATTTACGAGTCAACTGGAACGCTTGAATTGATTTTAAATGTTCGTCCAAATATATCAACAAATCCTTTAATTATAAGTAATTATGATTAATATTGTAATTATTCGGCATATAATATTTTGCCGAAAAATATCTCTTCAGAACACCAACTATAATTATATACATTTATTCTTCTTTTAGTGGGGTTTCCCGGATCAGTATCACTTTCTTCAGGTGAATGTACCTTTGTTTCTTTAACTACATCAGTTAATTCATTCCGATATTTGGCAACTTTCTTTGACCTTCATTCAA